AAGTCACTTCAGGAGTTTAAGAGAAGCATAATGATAATATTTATAGTTTTTAAAGACTAGTTTGAAGTGAATATATAAAATAAGTTGGAAGCAAAAAAATGTTAAAAAGAGAGATTGGAAATTAAAGTATTGTAATAGTTCAGATAGCTAAGGAGTATAATCCATAAGAATCCATAAAACTAGGTGAACAGATTTGACTATGGGATGAGAGGGAGGGAATTACTAAATCCAAAAAGGAATGGTACAGAATGACTGTCAAGAGAAAATAATTAATAATTTCATTGACTAAATCAAAAACATATTTTTGGGGGGATTTTTAAGAATCAATTGAGTACTTATTTATAGATAATTCAAAATCTTTACTCTCAGAAATCACGTCTAGTTTTGTAATTAGTACAAAGTGTATTACTCTGGGTTTTGCAGGGAAGCAGAACCAATGGGATGGAGACACATATATATATAAATAGAAAGCCTCATGTGATTAGGGAGGCTAAGTCCTGTAATCTCTAGTCCATAAGCAGGAGATTCAGGAGAGCTGGTGGTATAATTCAGTTTAAGTCCAAAGGTTTAAAAACCAGGAGAGCAAATGGCTTAAATTCCAGTGCAAGGGCAGAAGAAGACTGATGTCCCAGCTCAAATGTTCAAAGAGAGAGTAAATTCTCCCTCTACCTTTTGGTTCTATTCAGGCCTTAAAGGGATAGGAAGATGCCCACCCATAATGGGAAGGACAGTTTGCTTTACTCAGTTCTACTAATTCAAATACTAATCTCATCCAAAAATACTCTTAAAGACACCGCAGAAATGATGTTTAAACAAATATCTGGGCACCCTGTTCTGCACACAGTCCAGATGATACATAACATTAACCACTACACCAAGTCAAAAATCTCACTTTTATGTTGTGTGAGTTGCACAATGGGTTTGGAAAATTTCATTCTCCTTGCTTCATAACCTCTCTGAAAAATGTAGCTTAATTTCTTTTAAAGATATTACTGAAATTCAATGTCATCCTTTGTTATCATATTTTTTATACCTTTATAAAATACCTTTCCTCTGAAAAGCTGGCTTTGTAGTCTTGGTTTTTATAATGTAGATGAAAGCCTCAAAATAGGATTATTTCTTTCTCTCTTCCTATTTTACACAGGAAAAAGTTTATTGTCTTTATAGGCACATATACTTTAAATTGATTATTAAATTACTATAACACTATTGATCAATAGCAATATATAACCAATTATAATGATTATAAAATATCAAAAGAAAGCTTTTATTGGAAATGTATGTCATAAATAAATGGATAGGACCTTCCCACCCCATCCCCAATATGTTATGTATCCAGAAACGAGTATTACTTATTACTAGGAAGAAACAAGGTTCAGGCTAATTCTATTTTTACATTTTGTATTCACCCATTCCAAATATTTGACAGTGGAAATATTTCTGGTTACCTCAATAATCATTTTTTTAAACTCCTGAATTATATACCAAAAGTTACACAGGGGTATGTCATTAAAAATTATTCTTGATGATCACCTGATAACTCGATGTAGTCCTTCTGCAACATTTTCAAAAGCAACTGAAAAATCACCAATTTTGCAAAATTAACTGCCCCATCATTAGAGTCATTCACTTTCTAACCACTATCAGGATGTAGGTGATATTAACAGTATTGCTTTATTTGTAGAGTGGGAATCAATTACTAAAGAGGAAAGCAGAAAGGTGTCTAGTTCAGCACTCTCTGGGAGTGGGGGAGGCAGGTAGGAGGGAAAGAGGGAAGAAAGACTACATATGCCCAGATACCAGATTTTTCATTTTTGGTAATATTCTTGAATCTGCATTTATCTCTGCCACTAAGACAGTTCCCTCACCCTGGACGTGTGGGATATGCAAGAAGAGAGGAAGGATGCTTCTAAAACAACCCATGAAATGACATTAAAGCTGATATTAATATGAAAAGACAGACACTGCTATTTCAACTTAGTGGTTTTAACACCTTAAGTTCTGTTTTGCTGACAGTGTAGAGTCACATCTATCCAGGGTCTACCAGAACAAAGTACTCAGAATATAGAACACAGAAACAGAAAACATGACCCCTAGGGTGAAATGATTTTAATCAAATTAAATTAATATACAATTTAAATCACTAACCTGAAATTCACTTTAAAATTTTTCCTCAAAAATTACTTTCTTATTGTAAATATTCTTCATAGCTCAGAAATAGACTTAGCACTTGTTTCAAAAAAAACAGAGTTTTTTCATTGTTTTTACACGCTGGCTAATTAAATAAAAATAAGATTTGAAGTCACTCCAAAGATACAGGATTGCCTAAAAATAAGAGAAACAGGCTGAACCACAGTCATGAGTTGTGTCAGGGCCCATATTCTTTGTTCAGGTATTGCCTTAAAATCGAACCTACCCTTACGAAAAAGGGAACTACCGGCAGTCAACATCATATCCTTCAGGAGCCCTGTTCCAGATCCAGAACATCTGAACCTCGGTGAGAGGGTTGGGGGAGGTGGAAAAAGATGGAGAAGGAGCTTTTGTAATATATCTTTATTTTGTATTCACAACAATCCGTAAGCAGGACACTTAAAAAGGTACCTGGTGTCAAGAGTGTTCAATTCAGTCCAAAATGGCCATTCTGTAACAAGTCTGTTTTTTTTAAAGCAGTGAATTGTTTTGAAAATTTCAGGTCGCGTTTGTAGCCATAGAAAATGTAACAATGGTTTAAAAGAAAAGAAAAGATAGTGTCCCAAACTTGGCCTGGGAAAGAACTTTTTGGATAATGTAATTCACAAATCCCTCTTGGGAAAAAAATGCCTAAGAATCTTCTAATAAACTTCAAGGAACTGAAGATGCTCTGGAAAACCAACCACTCACCTAACCAGCTGGCTACCAGTTAACATAAAGTTATTAGTTAAGACCCTCAATTTTTTCCTGTTATCTAGTTTAATGATGATTATCTAACCTTCCTTTTTCCCTATAAAACGTCCCTAACACCCTATCTTTTAATTGATTTAGCAGAGGTCTTTTCCTTTGCAGCAAGCTTATAACAAAACACATGATTATAACTAAGGTGTGCGACAAGTTTTCTCTAACACTTTCTTTTATTTGCTAAAGTTAATTCAAGCAGATGTATCTAAGTGGGCAGAAAGTGACTATTTTCAACTAAATGCAATGAATATCTGGGTTATATTTTATCATAACCTAGCAGGGGTTCAACACTCAAAAAAGAAAAATTAAAATAATAAAACATACATTCTGGTCAAAAAAATACTTTGTTAATAAACCCATTTTTAAATATTTATAATCGGGAGGTGTGTATTTTAAAACAAAAAGAGACTCTCTTACCAGATAAACTTCAAAATACTAAGCTATGCCATTATCTGTTTATTTGCCCTGAGAGAAAAAATAAATATGAATTTCCCTGTCTTTTCAACAATTCTCAAATTATTCTAAATGGTGAATGAAGGTTCAAAAAATAGAAAACATTTCTACACCTCCAAATTAAAAACTAGATGATCACTTTATTTCTGATGCCTTGGGGTGCCTCAATTGATTTTGTTAACATTCTTGGAAACTCTACTGGCCAAAACATACCCGCTTGATGGTTCGCTTTTAAATTGAAAATTCATAAAGCGCATCATGGAAGCAATCGAAAAGTTAAGGACTGAATTTTGCTCAAAGTATTAAAAATACTGCTCTCTTCCATCCTCCAGCCCGATAAACTGAAGTGAATGAATCTCCTTTTTAAGCTATTACACAGAAACAGATTTTTAAATATTTTTTTAAATATGTAACTTTAAGTTGTGGTCTTTGTAACAGCTGTGAATTTTCACTTAAATCTAAACAAAGAAAGAGAGAGAGATTTAACAAAATAAATGTGTTTTCAAGTAAACCCTCGAGCTGAAATCCATCTATTGCACTGACCGTTGAGCTGATACTTGAGCCACAAGTTGATAAAATACTTCTTTAACCAGGTGATGAGGAACTCAAGTGTTGCTAATTGGCAGTTAGAGAGGATAAATTTCCTATGATTATTGTTCTCTCGTTTATTCATTTGTTGAACCAGTAGTAGCCTAGAGCTACAAGGGTTGCATCTGGCTGCAACCCCCAAAGATTATAACGAATTCAACTATCCTTGTCTCCACAGCCCAGGACTACCATTTCAAAGTGCAGTCCCCAAGTCCCGGGCCGGGGACCGGTACCCATCTTGGCCTGTTAGGGACCAGGCCACAGAGCTCTGCCCACCCCACCTCCGTCCACGAAACTTGGCGCCGGGGCAGGGGGGGAGGGTGGGGGACAGCAGGAGGTGAGCAGCAGGCAAGCCAGAAAAGCTTCATCAGTATTTACTGCCGCTCCCAGTGCTCCCATCACCGCCGGAGCTCCGCCTTCCCCATTCCCACGCCGTCCCTGGAAAAACTGTCCACGAAACCGGTCCCTGGTGCCAAAGGTTGGGGACTGCAGAGACACAACCAAGGGTGGTGGCAACTCTAGGGAAGCCGAGTACAAGCCCAAAGCTTTGCCAACGTCTGTCTCCCATTCCGTACACTGAGCAGTATGCTGGAACTCGCGTTTCAGTTTGTGAGTAACTATGGAACCCTGAGCTATTGGTCCGTGCTTCAAATGATCGCCAGAGAGTTCGCAACGCGCCCGGAATAGAGGCTACCTACCGGGGGTTAAACGGCTTCCCCCAACCGCGCTTCTAACAGGCCTCCCAGTTCCCAGCCACTAGGTGACAACGCAACCTGTAAGGGCGCTAAGGCAAGCAAGTATATACCACACGCTCAAAGACCCCCTCAAGTGGACACTGGGCAAAAAGGACGCGCTAGAGGGCGCCTCTGAAGGCTGCCCTCAGACCAACCGCCGCAGCGGGGTAACGCTCTTACCTAACTGCACTCCGCCTTCGCCTCCGCCTCCTCGCGTCGCCGCGGCCCCGCCCTGCCGCGGAGACTCACGGGACACGTAGTACGCCGTCCCCCTACCAGCCCCGTCTGCCCCCCCGCAGCCGCCCGGCTTCGCGAACGTCCTCACAGCTCCCTCGGGCCTGACTTCCGGTTTCCTCGCGCGGCCCTGGCGCCGAGCCCGCGGACAGCGGCAGCTCCTTTTCCGGTGGCGAGCTGCTGGTCCACCCTTCCAGCCCCTCTCGACAGCGCTTCCCTTCTACGGCGGGCGACGCGGCCGCCGGGCCGTGTAGGTCCTGACGAGGCCGGCCAGCGCCGGAGGGCCTGGGTCTCGCGCGCGTGTTGCTGGGTAACGGGCCTTCTCCCGCGGCTGCTCGGCCTCCTGCCTGTGCTCGCCCCTCCTTCCAGAACCTCCAAGGCCACTACCGAAGGACAGGGCCTGCGCCGGGCCTGGCGTAGCCAAGGCAGAAGAAATGGGAATCCTTCCGCGGCGCACCTGGTGCGACTGCCTTCGGTGGGGAAGCGGCGGTGTCTTTGAGGAAACCGGAAGCCCGTGGTGACCCCTGGCGACCTGGGTCGTTTTCGGTCCGTTTCCAAACACTAGAGAATCGGAACTCGGCGGCCCTGGGGGCGGCCCTACATAGCCTGGCTTCGGGGTGAGTGACTGGCAGGGGCAGAGACGAGGATGGGGGTGCGGGCAATCCCGGGACCAACCTTTGCCGCTATTACTGGTCTGAAGAGACACGTCATTTTTCTCTCACCCCCTCCCGCCCTTCCTCCTTTAGGGAGCGGCTCACCCCTGGGCATCCCTTGCTCCTGTCACCTCCACACCCCACCTGTTCCAGACCCTTCTTGGTCTTTCACTTTACTTCTTCCCCTATTGTTCATTTTCCTCATGTGTTCTCATTTACTGGGGCGCCTTCAGATGTTGGGGGATTTTTTTTCCCATTCATTGAGATGGCTTTATATGGGAAAGGGAAGAGGGACCTGTGGCTGGGATGGTACTGCCTGGAGCATCAGAGCAGTGAATAACGACCCTTTGTACTGTAATTGAGAGCTAACAGTAGGTATTCGTCGTTTCTCCAGTGTGTCTAACCTGAATACAGTATTCATTCTGGTTTTCAGTAATTCGTTGAGTGATTACATGCAAGGTAAACTAACACCCTTGTCCCTACACACAAGAAACTCGAATACTCGAAAGTGAGGTAAAATACACATGAAAACTGTAATACAAATCAAAACGTAAATTGCTCCAGGATGTATTGGAAATATGCTAAGGTGATCAAAGATATAGATGTACCAGGATTAAAATTGACCTGTACTCCTTAAGCATAGAAAACGTTTTCTTTTTCAATTATTGAAATTTTAAATTGGATTGAGCTAGATCTCAAGGCATAATTTAAGTTTTGGTTTTCTAAAAACGCCATATCGTATTGCCCAATCTGTTGTGATCATTCCATCATCTGTAAATTGGGAATGGTGCATCCTTTACAGAATGGTTAAAAAATTTTAATGCGATGTCATATGCAAATGTAAAGTTCAAATATTAAAGAGACAGCATAGTGTAATGTGAAATGGTATTGGCTTAGGTAAGAACACCAGTATCTGAGTGTTGAATTTTCCATTTACATTGGGTAAGAGGCTAAACTTCTTCCCTATTTTCCATATCTCTAAAATTGTGGAAATACTTACTCTCCAAGGCGCCAAAGCATAGTTTCTAAGAGTTATGCTTGCTCTGGAATCAGCAGCCAGATTTTCTTTCATGGCTCCCCCACTTTCTAAGGATTGCATGTCTCATTTCCTGTCATATGGGGAGATTCTTACCCACCTCCGAGGTGTTACATAGATTTAATGAATTCTTATGAAGAACAAATGAGATAGTTTCCATAAAGCGGAAGCACACTACCTGGTATACCATGAACAGTTACTATTAATTACCAACACAGAACATTGTCATGATTAGTAAGTAAATTGATGTGATGTTTTTAATAATCCATGAAGTAATAGAACCAGGGTGACTTACTGTTTTCTTTTTTATGGCACTTATATTCTGAATCAAATTATGATTGTCTTATCATTGTTAGAAAATAGTTATTGATAACACCAGTAACATTTACTGTATAACAGGTGCTCATTTTCATTGAGATATATTATTTTATGAAAGGAATGACAAGTAGACTTCTCTTCATACCTATGCTATCCCTGAAAGACTCTTAGGATTCCCTGGTTATATAAACTGATTTCTGGACTAATGCAGTTAGTGGGATGATTCAGTGAGGGTCATAAAAATGAAAGTGGAGTTTTTTGTATTGGATATCTGCTGCTGAGTACGTTTTTGGACAGACTGAATTAGAGGACATTTGATTGCCAAGGTATATAGATTATGCCATAGTATCTTGAAAGGAAGCACTTGAAGATCCCTTCTTTATAAAACTAGTTAGGCCATTTTTGCCCCTGATTATTTCATTACAAATAGGGAAAGAGGAGTAAGTGTTGATCTATCCGTCCTCTGTAAGACTTAATCCTTGCTCCATGGTATCTAGACTGATTGTTCGAAGTGGGTCCAGGAATATCCTAGCCTTCTCAGAGGTTCTGAATAAGATTCACTTTAGGAGGCAATGTAGAATGGAGGAAAGAGCCTACCATATAAGCCTTGGTTCAAACCCCAATTCTGTCACATACTGCTGGTATGATAAGGCAAATTTACCTTATCTCTGAACCTGTATTTCCTCATCTTTGATGGTGATAATACCTTTCTTGCCAAGTTTGGCGTGGACTTTGGGTGATATGTGTACTGTACCTTTTGCTCAGTTCCTGGCATAAATGTGAATTCCTGTCTATCTGTGTAGGTTGCCATTCTGTATTTGGATTAAACTTTTGCCTTTACAATTTAGGAAGGTAGCATCTTAGTTATGTAGTCTAACCTTGTCATTTTATACATGGGAAAATTTAGATCTAGAGAGGTAAAGTGAACTAATCTATAATTAGGGTGGCAGGTCCTAGACTAGAATCTGGGTTTCTGAATCCTGGGCCAGTATTCTTTCTACCTTAGAGTTCTTCCTGTCCAGATTCTTATTAGGAAAATCAGAATCCATTTTGTATTGCCTCTCAGAATATTATATTAGACATGTAGATTTAAAAGGCAGCTTATCTAGATTTATGCCCTAGCTTTGACACTGATTAGTTACATCGCTATAGGTGAAAATATTTAACTTTTCTAAGACTTTGTTAATAAATTGAGATAATAATACCTACCTTAAAAGTAGAAAAACACATGTAAAAGCATTAGTGCCTGGCGTATGGTAAATGATCAATAAATGGTAGATATGATGATGAAATAGGATAATCATATTTAGTCTGAAAAAAAGAACAATCTGGTGTCAGAATATATGTTTTCTACTATCTCAAACCCCTGTATCTGTAGCATGTAAAAAACTGAGGGTCCACTCAGTGTTGATCATAGCAAAAACTGAAATTTATGATCTAAGATAGTCCTGGGTAATAATGTTTAAATCTTTTTTTTCCTCCCTGTATTTACCCAAGCCTTAGGCATTACTGTTCTCTTTTCTGCTCACCTTATTTGATAAATTGTGCCCTCTTTTTCCATTATCATTCTTGGGAAATTCAGTTCTCAACGATAATTGTCAACATCTTTTACCTCAGTCCTTTCTAATTCTCTTTTAATTTATAATTAAGTAAACCTCTAAGAAGAAACAAAATTTAATTGCCAAATATATAAAATAATTGCCTGACTACATATAGATATATTTGCCTATAAATATGCTATATATAACCCTCCAATGTTATTGCAATGAGATGAGGATAAATGGAGATTACTTTCTATATAATATTAAAAAAAAAATCTTCATGAAAAAGGAGTGTTTACCAATTCATAACATAGAACTAGCCATGCCTACAAATGTTCAAGAATACTAGTTATAATTAGAATTCTGTAAATCATGTAGTAGTGACTTAGCTCTGTTCTCCTTAAATTTGTGGTTCTTAAATTGGAATGGGACTTAAAAATCACCTAAGGTACTTATTGAAAGTGCAGTTTGTGATTTTCAACCCAGCTTTTCTTATTTGTATAGATCTGCAGTGGAGCCTAGCAGTCAGCATTTTTAATAGAACTCCAAGCAATTCTAAAGCAGTAGTCCACACCTTACTTTGTCAAACACTGCCCTCGTAGGTCATCTCCAGCCTCTTGGAATGTTGGCATGTCCCTGTGGAATACATCTATTGTTGATTTTTGTAGTTTTTATTGATTAAGCTTGTTTGGGGACAGTGTTTTGTCATTTGTTAAGTTTTGAAAGTGAATGTTATCAATTCTTGCTAGACTATTTAAATAATTGTCTAATCTTTTGGTAACTCTCATTTTTGGTAACGATATTCTTCTCTGGCACTCATTTTCTTAAAGATTAATGTAAACAAAGGTTTATTATTTTAAGAAAATTTAAATTATGGTAAATAAGATTAGATATAATATAGGTAAGTTTCCTTAAGTGTTAAATGTTATAACTAGCTTGGTCTAGTTTAAGTATAGTAATAGCCAGGTTATACTTTTAACATTTAACCAGAAAATCAAACTTCTTGGACCAGCTGATTTAGATACAGACAAAGAGATATTTCATTACAACAGAAGTGTGTAAAACTAAATCATTATTGTGAGGCAAACTATTGCAGCTCCCTTTATGTCTCTGTAGAAATAAATTTGAAGAATGATGAAGGATGCTTGCATAAGCAGTAAAAACAAAGGCTGTACATAGTCTACTTTGTCAGTTTGCTAAAAGTTCTCCTTTCATTGTAGTAATAAATATAATGTGATATCCACCTTGTATTATTTGGTTTCTTACTAAGATCTCATTTTCCCTGGCTCTACAGGTTTTAATCTCCAGAGGTCTGGTTTGTACAGAGTAATATGGTAAGTATTAATATTCTGATACTTGTGATTTCATATTTATTTTTCAGGGATAGAAATCAAAATTCTCATTTTCTGTTTTATAACAAATTTAAGTGACAGTTATTTTAAAACGTAATAAAACCTAATGCATATCTGTGGTGCCAGTGGATTTATTTTCTCTTAGGTATGCTTTAATATGTGGCTATTTTTTAAATAAATTTTAGCATAGATAACCAATTTTCATGCTGCTTTCTAGTGTGTTCCAAGTAGTGTTTATAGAACGTAGAATAAATATATAGAATAATGGTATAAAACTTGAAAAATCTTTTTTATGCCGATAATGTTTTTTATATTTAGAGAGAGACTATACGTATGCAACTTTTTGATGATTTGTAAATAAAAAAGGCAATAGATAAAAATATATAAAATACTTATAATCTTAATTATAAATGAGTCTGCTCATTTTGTCTTTCTAAAAATGACCAGTTATCTTGTATAAAATGTGACATTGTTGCATAAAATGTACATCCCCTTCCCTCTAAAGTACTTAGAAACCTTCTGAGGGGTTCCTAGTTTTGTGGTTCTTGATGAATGTAAGGTTTTGTAAAAGATTCTTTGGGGCGGGAAAAATAGTAATAGCTCAGTCTCTGAAACACAGGTGCTTCTGCTACATACTGTTCTGCTACATACTAATCCTGGCTAAGCTTCATGACCTCTCCAGGTCCCAGATTTCTCATCTGTGAAATGGGTTAAATGAGATTTTCTACCTTATAGGGTAGTCATGAAAATTCGATCGGTTAATATTTATAAACATTTAGCACAATGCTAAGTAGTTCATTTGGTTGTGAAATTTTCTTAATAAATGTGTGTGAGTATTCTTCATACTCTTTAATTATGTCCAGTTCTACCTTTTTAATATCCCATAGAATAAGGACCAGAATCAGTAGTCTCTCTATCATAAAGAATCTTCTCAGTTTGTTTCCATCCTATCTATCTAATCTCATCTCCTGCCTCTCCCCTTCTCAACCCTTCACTCCACACTCAGGTCTTTGAACTCATTGTCTCTGCTGGAAGTTAGCAGACCATAAATGTTTAAGTACAGTAAGTACAGTATGATGAAAATAACTATCCTCTTCACTTTAGAGTACACGCTTAACAGTCATTTGATTTTTTTGTGGTATTGTCTTTGAAAAGCACTTCTCCTCCCTATCCCTTATCTCCATAGCATTCTGTATTGTTTCAAATATATCACCTACTTTTATAGCATAAGAATTATTTTCTGCACAACTGTTTGTCACGCTTGGTTTTCCTTGCAGAGTAAATGATTTTTCCATGATAAAAAAAACATGATAAATGAACAAATAAGGAAATCACAGAGCTGAGCTGGCTAGAACTTTGTGTAAAGCAAAAGCATGTGGGCTCTGATCCTTAAAGTACACAAACTGTGGGGCATCTGTTTTGACTTTGTAGGGCAGTTTATGTTTATTTCTTGTTCTCAGGTGTCTTTAGAAAAAAAATTATTCAAGTAGTATAAATCTTGCCCATTTGTTTGAGTTACTTAAATCAAATGTCTACTATGGACATAATTTTACCCCTCAAACTAGACTGCATCTTACCACTTAACTAATCATCTACGCTTATTCTACTTGTTCTATTTTTAAGATACTGTGTGTGTATTTGTGTAACAGTTTTATACGGAGATACATGTGCATACTTTCAGTTCATATTTTCCTTTAGCAAAGAAGTAATGAGAATTTCGATTAGCAGCAGCATGATTGGAATTATGTTTGCTATTATGTTGAAATAGAGTTGTATCCAGAGATGGAAAAGTTTTCTCTGTAGAGGAAGAAATCTTAAACTTTTTATCATTAGGAGAAAGTACAGCTTCCATCAGAAGCAGTTAATTATGGTTATGAGAATCTGCCACTTTTTTGGTATGCAGTAGGTAACATAATCCTGCAGTCCCAAACCCCTGGGCCATGGCCCGATACTGGTCCCTGGCTTGTTAGGAAGTGGGCTGTGCGTCACCACCTGAGCTCTGCACCACCTTCCCCCTACCCAGGACATCCCACTCTCCCAACCCCAGTCCGTAGAAAAATTGTCTTCCATGAAACTGGTCCCTGGTGCCAAAAAGGTTGCGGACCGCTGACTCATAGTCCATTCTTGTTTTCGGACTTCATTCATAAACTGAGAAAGATTCTAACTTAAGAACAGGAGTTGTCCTATGTAGTTTAAAAATGTTAAATTGATGTCGGTGAAAATTGACTGGATGGCAGGTTTCACCTACTTACTCAAGACTTGTAATAAGCACATTTATTTTTGCCTACCTTTCCTTTAATCCTAGATAGACATGAATAACTTAGACATTTCAAACTCCGGCTTTGGTTGAGAGCAATTGGAAATTTTTAGTTATAATTATTATAGAAAAGTAAAAATACAATGATAGAAGACCACACCCAAAAGAACACAAACAAAACCTTTTGTTAGTATTCATGTGGTGTGAAATAAAGCAAAAAAAAACTTTATAGGCATTAATAGACACAGGGAAGGAGATCAGACATTTTGGAGGAAAGCACGCATAGTGAAATATGGATTCTGTAGTTAAGTTGCCTATGTTTACATCTCAACTTTCAACTTACTCCGTTACTTTGGAAAAAATACATTCCTTCTACTTCAGTTTCTTCATCTGTAATGTTGTTGAACAGTGACTAATACTAGTAAATAAGCAAATTTTAAGCTGGGGGTAGTAAAAAATATTTTTCCAGTGACAATTAATTACTAAGATAAGTGAAATCCCTTGATAGTCTTTATTTAGAATGCTATATTTAGTGTTTTATTTTAAACTAAAAAAATATTTTAAAAGGAATTTTTAGGTTCTCTTACGTTACCTGTAGTCCCCTCTTACCTTGTTTTTCCCATGAGGTCTTAAAAGATACCGCCACAATTTCTCCTTCCACTGTGTTTTTCAGAAACACAACTCTGAGATGCGGAAGTAATACTGAACTTAAAAACAAAGGTAGATATACAGAGCAAGTATATTTTTCATTAGATAATAAAGGTAACTGGCCTCTTCTCTTAGATTTTGGAGTCAGAGTATAGTTTTAATCCTATTCTATCCACTCTTCATTCAATAATCAATATTTATTGAGCAACTTCCATACAGTGGTGACTTGGGGGCACAGTGATGAGCAAAATACATATAGGTAATGTTCTAGATTGTACTGGGGAAGATACTTCACGTTTTTAAGGCCTACATATAAAATGTAGATGACACCTACCTCATAGAATTGTTGGGGTGATTAAAGGAGATAATATTAAAACAATACAGCGCATGGTACTGTGACATAGTGAGCACTCAAGTGTCAATTTGTTTCTTTTCTATTGTGAATACACGACACATATAACCAGTTACTGGTATGGAAAGAATATAGTAAAGTATGCATTAAAACTTCTGTAATATATTGTAATGAATTGTGCTCAAAGAAGTTTTGAAAATTTATAATTTGGGAAGCTCTAAAACTTGCTACTAATAGATCTAATGGAAATGATGAAGAAATACATGAGCATAAAGTGTTTAAAAATTTTGATCATTTTAATCAAAATGATATTTCATAGATTTTTATAGAACTTACTAATAATTATGGTTCTAAATGCTTTAAAGATAGCAACTTATTTAATATTCTTAAGACCCTGTGAAGTATTTGCTATTATTTTCCATACTTTTCAAATAAGGAAACTGAGGCAGAGAGGTTAAGCAACTTGCCCAAAATCACACAGACACCAAATAGTAGAGCTTGGATTAGAACCCAAGCAGTCTGCTTCCAGAGTCTATTCTTTTAACCACTGTGCTATACTGCCTCTAAAAGAAAAAGGAGTTTTTAAACATTGCCCCAGTATACACATTATTGTAAATATGTCTTTTTTTCCCTGCTCATTTATTCAATGAGATATTTGTATATCATTTTTTTTTCTTTTATGTAATAGCTGTCATGGATGCACTGGTAGAAGATGATATCTGCATTCTGAATCATGAAAAAGCCCATAGGAGAGATACAGTGACTCCAATTTCAATATATTCAGGAGATGAGTCTGTTGCTTCCCATTTTGCCCTTGTTACTGCATATGAAGACATCAAAAAACGTCTTAAGGATTCAGAAAAAGAGAACTCTTTATTAAAGAAAAGAATAAGATTTTTGGAAGAAAAGGTAATTTTATCTTCTACCTTCATTATGCTTTATAACATAAAGAATAATTCAAATTTTAAATATTTTCTGTTCTGTCTTCCATGGTAGTACTAAATTTCCAAAGATAACTCACTGCTAATCTCAAAATACGTACCATGGGCTTGGTGAATATTTGTAAAAGAGGATTTAACAACTTGGAGGAATTAAATTTTTTCAGATTGCCTTACCTTCATAGCTGTATGTATTTTATTCAGAATTTTCAAATCTGTGCAAAAAAAAAAAAAAAACAACAAAAAATGATGTGCCAACAAAGGAAATTAAGTGTCAAAGGAGGAAGCTTCTGGGATATTGTTCTAATATGTTTAATAATGTCTTCACTAGTAATGAAATCTTCTTTACCTCAACATTGTCTTTTATTCTTTAACACTTATAGTAGGAATAATGCTTTTAACTGATAAATTAATGTTTTCTGTCTACCTTTTCATGCACAGTACTGACATACCTAAATGTTATAGAATATATGAGTAAGGTAGCTGATTCAATATAATCACCAGATCTTCTTGGCTTTGTGTGTTGGGAAGTCTTCTTCAATCATCCATTTATTTTTGAATTTTAAAGTGTTAGTTTGTTTGTATTTCTTCACATTAGATCAGTGTATACATATCTTACAAACAGCAGTTTCCACAAAGGGTAAAAGAAGTGGATTCTTAGCACAAAGGAAATGCATTATCTTGTATAGAAAAACTTAAGGATGGGATTCGGTCAAGTTTGATTCATTGGGAGAGATAAGAGGAGGGGGAGTCAACTGTAAACATAATCATAATTTGTTCACATTCATATGAATTTTTTTACTTTAAGGTCAATTAAGTAAATTTGTAACATACTGCGATAGAGTGAGAGAAGGTAACATTTTGGAGCTCATAGCTAATATTTATTTTATAGTTCCATAGAAAAATGGGATTTAGTATATAGTTGACATAGGAAATATTTCTGTACTTTGCAACCAATAATCTTACTAATACCTATTCTGGAAAAATACAGGATTTAATGAACTAACACATCCATTCCTTAAGAGGTCAATTTTGCCTTAACTTGATACTTTTTCCAATGATGAAAATTAGATACTACTGACGAGGAAAACACCTAACCACTTTAAAAGAATGGTGTACTCTGTTGTAGTTGTGATGGTTTATGTTATAAAACATATACTCTGAAGTTTAAAATACTGATAAGTAAAAGGATAGAAGACTTTTAAAAATATTCTGTACTCTTTTTGGTTTCTTAATCAGTAAAGATTTATTGCATGAAAATGAAATATTCACCTAATTATAGTCCAGGCTTTACCCCTGTGTTATAAAAATTAAGATGAGTCATCAGAAGACTGACTTTTTTTTTTAACGTATAATACCTTTTTGAGCTTTCTCTTTTCATTTCATACTGTTAGCTTATTGGAGCTCGATTAGATGAAGAAGCAAGTTCTGTGGGACGAGAACAAGTAAATAAGGCCTATCATGCATATCGAGAAGTTTGCATTGATAGAGATAATTTGAAGAGCAAATTAGATAAAATGGTAAGTTGGTTTGAAAAGAATGACATTTTTATATTTCAAATTAGTTTTCTCCTTCAAGAGGTTTGAAATTAGAAATAAGTTAAATGTTTACATTTAGTATAATAATTACAATTTTAAAATGTATATATTCAAAGCAAAATTGAAATTTTTAGTAATGCTTGTAAGTTATTCTGTACAATGTAAATACTTAGTATGTAATGATGTTTAGGACTTAAATACATCTAACACCACTAACTTATTTTGAAAAATCATGACATGGTGGAATTAGTCATTATATTTAAAAGGAAAAAAATGAATAATAATGTCCTCAATTAGAAAAAGACAAAGATTAGTGAGAAACTGAGTTCATTTTTGTACCTTGCTTTTAAAGACTAGAATGAGTTTTTTCAATATTTACTTGAAAATTAAGATATAATACCAACGTACAGATTTTATTGAATGTAATTTGGCATTTTCCCTGCCTAACTAGAATAAAGACAACTCTGAATCATTGAAAGTATTGAATGAACAGCTACAGTCTAAAGAAGTAGAACTCCTCCAGCTAAGGACAGAGGTGGAAACTCAGCAGGGTATGCCACTTACTTGTTACAAATATTCTAACAGAATTAATACATTTTTCCATTTATGTTTTATATCTATCACCAGTTTTCTATATCTGTTATAGAAAAGTTAAGGAGCCTTAACTTTTTTAATTTTTAGGCTTACATTAATTTCTCTGTTCTGCTTTCACACAGTGGTCAACTCCTTTTAACTTTTCCTTAGCTGTAAATTGTCCTTGAGAAAATTTGATGGTTTTTATTCAGGGTTCGTTTGTGATGAAGTAGAGGAGGGAAGGAGTAGAACCCAGAAGTAGAAGTAGTAGAAGTCAAAACTTCTACCCCACTGGTATGTCCTGGCTTTTCCTTCTTACTGAACATCTCGCCCACGGTTAGACACACTGTCAGGGAGTAGTTAGAATTACTTTGTTTTTCTGTCTGTAGGTTGTTAAAAGGTAGAGATGAGATGTTGGGGTGCACAGTCAGGTCTGGAGGATATGGATAATAGCCTGTTCCCGTGAACATTCTGATTAGACAAGCTGAAGTAGAGTAAGCTTCTGAGAGACCTTTTGAGAGCTTGAGATAAGATCTCTTGTGGTAGCTAGTTGGGGCTTTTTGTAGATAGGCTACAGTACTAAGTCAAGGATAAAGTGGTATCCAGTTATATTGAATTTCTATAGTGTAATGTTTATGAATAAAATTGTTTAGAGATCATGTTCTAGGTTTGCTGGTCAAAGTGTATACTTTGAGGAGACTCGATGGAATGATTAGTTGAACTTCAGTTTATTCAGCTTATTATTTTTATCATAGTCTAAGCCTTGACTTTTATAAAACAGATTATTGATCTGTCTGCAATTTTAGCATATGCTTGATTTTAGCATAGCATGTTTTAACATCAGACTGACAAATTAGAACTTTAACTTATATAGAAACTCAGAGATGAGATGATTAATATAGTCTAAAACAAGATTGCTAGATTTTTTATTGTTACTAGCATAGACTTTGGCAGTAATTACTGTTTTTAAAAAACTGTTGATTGTACATGTTTTATATTAGTTTATCTTTTATCTACATTTTACCAACATAACTTTTTTAGAATTGTGATCAATATAGAAAGCAAAGATAATAATTTTGATATCGGTCCTTTTTGTAGTGATGAGGAATTTAAATCCACCTTCATCAAACTGGGAGGTGGAAAAGTTGAGCTGTGACCTGAAGATCCATGGTTTGGAACAAGAGCTGGAACTGATGAGGAAAGAATGTAGTGATCTCAAAATAGAACTACAAAAAGCCAAACAAACGGTACTACAGAATTATTAAATTGAGAAATTTAGTATTCTTTGTGCATTATTTGTAGGATTTATAACTAAGTATGTATTCAACTATAACATTAACATAAATTGTAACTATTTAGGTAATATTCTATTCTTTGAAAATACATGTTTATCTTCCTCTTTAATCATTTCTGCTAAAATTTGACACACTGTATACTTTTAGTTTGATCCCAGGATTATATAAATTTGCCTTTTAAAAAGGTTTATTTTAAAAAGCATATTAGTTAATTTATTATAGCTGTTCTTTCAAACTCCCTTTCTTTAGTTTCCTTATCTTTTTTTCCTTAAACTTTAAAGAGAATCCTCAAGTTTTAAGTTTCCCATTTTATTTAACTTAATTGATTAATTTAGACATAAGAGACAACCTGATTTTTAGAATTTCTTTTTTTAAGAAAAACTAACAACAACAAAGAAAACTTCACAGAGCCCACTTAATTTCAGAAGACTAATACTTTGGGGACAACTTTAACTATCAGCAAAGAACTGAGAATTTAAGAATTGGGGGAAAAAAAAAACAAGCACAAAAACCTGCTGCATTGCTTAAATATAATTAGCCTGAAGTCATCCTCTAAAACACAAGCTGCTTCTCATTTCCTTACCAAGAATCTGTTTACTAATACTTTAGCTTGGGTTCTAACAAGCTTTGATATGTTTTCAGATGTCATAACAGGGCTAAGGATAAAAGAGGAAATGATACAAAAACAAGGAGTGTGAGAACAATGTACCAAATGCATACTTTAAAATAGTTGTTACAAGAAATTGAAAAGCTTAGTAGTCTAGAGGAAATAGCCATTTTATGCATTCATGTATTTCAGACTAAGGTGTAAACCAGTTATATAATTGTTTCTCAGCTCAACCATTTTGCTTACTAGAGCATTCCAACATTATTGAGGAACTGTTTCTTATTCCCTGTTCCTCTGGGATGCTACTGCCTGAAAGAGGAACTCCTCTCCCATACTTCCTGACTGCCAGCCAGATTCTACCCTGAATCTCAAATGTCCTTAGATGAAGCTGACACTCCTCTCTTTTATTATGTATTCTTTATGAGAGATGACCACTGGAAAAGAATGAGCCAGGTATTGAGATAATATAGCATTCTGCCTTGGCCTTGACCTTGACCAATTGCATTATTGTGAACTGGGCAATGAGAACTTGCTTTGGAGCTCACAGTCCTGATAAAGGGGCAACAATACGAAAATTACTGTCAATTCCTGCTAGAGTCAAAATGAGTTTTTTTCCTACTTGACATTTGAAGTTGATCTTCTCAGATTTGAACTTGTGGCCACACAACACAGTTCCTTGAGAGCCTTTCAGCATCGTTTTCCACAAACTCAGTTGCCATAGCCACTGAGAAGCCTCTTTTAAAAAAGATGTGCTTGAAGAAAAGATCACCTTGGAGCCCTGAATTATAATTGTCAATGTGTACATTCTACTTGAAATAATTAGATAACTCTTATCAAATTATTAGATATCCAAATAATGGATATTTCATTGTAGAGTAGGAAGCAGTACCATGAAATCATAGAAACTTGGATAATAATCGAGGTGTTGCTTATTAACTGAGTAACATTAGGAATGTCATTTAACTTTTTGAAACTTGTTTTCTGTAAAGTATACATTAAATACCTATTTTTTCATGAATGTTAAGTTAGTGTGTGTAAAGCAGTTAGCATAGTGCCCAGTAAATAGTATATTCAGTAAGTGAGTACTTTTTAAAAAAACTTGATTAGAATAATCCGGAAAGGTATTTGTGTGTGTATGTGTGGTTCAAATTTTGGTTCTTAATTCATTAGTTACTCTTTTCCACTAGATGGTGCTAGGGAATGAATTTGCTTTTAGTTTAAATTCATCTATCATAAGCAAGCAATCACAGAAACTGCCTTTTAGAAGACAAAGAAACTTTAGATATCATTTTTCTTTAACTGATGATGAAATTAAATATGAGAGACAAGAAACTTCTAAGAGTTGAGGGGAGAAATATTGAAAAAAATATTTGAAACATGGTCCCCATCTTCACAGGCATTTATTAGGGGTGGAGTGAGGCTGTGAAGTAAAAACTGCTCACAACTAATACAAAGAAATGAACCAGGAGGAGGAAGAGTGGAAATACCAATTTATCAAGGGTTCCAAGTTGAAATCTTGATGTTGTGGGATGTGTACTTTTAAATCTTGTTTCAGAGGCATTGTTGATTGGAGTCCTCTGGGATATGGGAATCTGAAAGCAAGTCAGGGAGAGAAATTTATGCTTGCATTACTCTACCCATATTTATAAATATTTTTAAAATGGTACTTTCTGTGAAGCATATTTTATGATACCTTCTGAAGTATGTAATAGCATCCTACATGGACATAATAGTATGTTTTTGGTTTTTTTGAAGTATTTAATTAGTGAACTCAGTTAACTAGTGTTTTGTGTTAGTGAGGTTCCAGGGGCAGTTCCATTATGAGCCTTTTAGACTTGCTGTATCCCCCTAATATTCCTCTTTACAGCTATTTACAGTCAGAACAGTTGGTCCTGTGAGAAATACAGATTCTAGGGCCAACGAAATATAAGAAACATTGGGTTAGTAAAATGGAGTTGGTTTAGAGGATATCTAAGGTCTCTAATAAAATAGCCCATTTAGAGATTCACAATATGCTATAGTGCATTAAAGGTTCTGAGAAGTTCTATTGTATAGGAACCTGTATACCTTGAACATTGTTTCCCAAGATTTTGTAGCCATGGGTTGCTGTTTACGTGAAACTCCCACATAATATTGCACTAGTTGGGAAACAGACCCGTTATAGCCTTTAGAATATGGCAACCCAATTACTGGCCAGACACTGGGACTTTGAATATTAGAGATAATCCATTTGAGCTTATTGCTGATTTACATTAGATTTTCTGAATTGTAACTGGAAAAATATTTTCCCACCCAAACTGTCAGAATTTTTTATATCATTGGCTTTAAAAATGAGGAAAGTTTTTCAATGAACATTTATGTTTAAGTATACACTAAGTAAACATTTTTTAAATTAATGATACTAAGAAACTAAAAGCGATCTGATCTAATTCTTTCATTTCCTATAGAAAACAAGAAAGAAGAATGTCCAAAGATATGTGTCTCATTCGTAGTCAAACCTCCCCTGACTCATGAGCCAGTTGTTTCCCCTCTCCATAGGGCTTCCTAAAATGCAGTTTAATTTTTACAGTGTTAAAATCAGAGATCCAAAAATGGTTTAATTCCTATAAGATGAAGCATTTTTGACATTTTACACTCCAAAGTTCAGAATACTCACGAAGTCCTTGTGTACCTTTTTAATATTCCAGTTTAAAACATAGAATTTAGATTATGTTAGAAATTAACATAGAAATTAGATTATGTTACATAATCTACTTACATAGATTATGTAAGTAAGAAATAATAAAATTAAATTTTGTTCTTTCAGCTTATAGTGGCCACTTCTGCCAGTAGAATTAGTACCTGTAATAGTCATTTTCATTTGTTACAGACTTTTAAATGAGAATGAATTGCAAACAAAAGTATTACAGTGCTGTCTTAATATCTACAACCTAAGTAAACCACTAATACTTTAAAGTGTAAAGGGACTTTATGATATCCTGGCCAGGTCATTTTGTATGTACATGTAAGGAGGATATTTATATGCTGATCTTTTAAACAGTAACTTGTTAAAGTTCTGATACTTTTTTTGTAATAGTACGAAAAAGAAAATGCCAAAAAACTTCCATTTGCCCATGGAATTCATTCAGCAACACCTTGAAAAAACAGTAGTAATGTGATGAATTTGTTATACTTTTTTGAATATAGACTTTAGATTGGTGTTCTCAGAAATATATTTTGTGAGAACAATTTTATTTTTTAAAGAAAATCAAAGTATTAATGCTTTAAATAATTGGAAGTGATTGAAATATTTTGTATAGGTTGGAGTTGATTTCATAAAATTGAATGTGAAATCTCATTTTATGCTATATAATCATAGATGTATTCTATAAAAGCTACAATATGTCTCTGGTAATAAAGAGCTGAGACAAAATAAAATGCAAAAATTACAACTTTTAAACTTTTTTTTCCCAAATGAAAGGATCCACATCAAGAAGACAATCTGAAGAGCAGAGATCTCCAAAGACTAAGCATTTCAAGGTACGAACACTCCTGAACATTAAAATAGTACACGTTCTCTTCCACAGATCACTTTGTGTAGGTACCTAGATTTCTGTTATGATTTAACTTTTAAAATGAAATGAATGGATACTATTTGGATACTGAATGTGACTTCCGATCACAATATATTTATAAAAAAACATTTAACTATTACTTAATCAACAATAGGCTTGAACTTTAGTAGAAAGGTGCACATTGGGATGCCTTATACGGAATTTCTGAATGATTAGTATTAGATATGATTTTAGGGAACTAAGGTATGTGGAAGTATTCTGTAATAAACCCTGATGTTGTACATGAAGAATTAGTCATTTCTATCTATAGTAATATCCCTTTGTCTTAAGAGCAAACACGGACAACCCTATAGTCTTTGGGATAGCGTGAATTTTAAGAAATTATTCCCTCTTAGGATAAGAACAGAAGTAGCTATCAGAGTTCATGTACTTCAACTCTTTTTCTCAAATACCTATTATTGTTACTCAACTCAAAAGTTCTATGTTTTAAATTATCTAATAATTTTTGTTGGTACTATGTTAGGATAGCCGTGGATACCTTCTATCTGATAAAAAATACTGACTTGACTTCATTGTTTGATCATTTGATTTTCAAAGTTTACTGACCTAAGTAAATAATGTGAATTGTTTCAGACCTATTCTTATCAAAAACCTGCGTGAGAGAAATGATCAAGATCAGTTAAGGAAAACAATTTGAGGATGTGACATGCAGCCACTCTTTTAGATTGGGGGTTGGCAAGCTTCTTCTATAAAGTGCCAGCAGTAAATATTTTAAGTTTTGTGAGCTGGCCATACAGTTTCTTTGCAACTAACTCTGCCGTTTGAGCAGTACTTCAATTATGCCTTCAAATTTTATCTAAGATTACAGCAAGAAAGTTTTTTCTTTTTTAAACAATGTGTCTAGTACAATGTCCACATAAACTATTTCTTAAAATTATCTTCTTTGTCAGAATTTTAGCCTGTCAGCCTAGGTTTCCTCTTGTTACTTTTGCTGTATTTGTCATTTTTATAAGCCCCTTCAAATCATTTTTGAAAGAAGCAAGGTTAGAATCAGAGTAGATCAAATTAAGGGGCTATATAGATAGTGTATTGGAAGCACATGATATAGAATGGGACTTATGCTATCATTCATGTGGAATTACATAATTCGGATAACTTCCACTGAGAATATCTCAGAAAGCTGGCTCCCCCAAAAAATGCCTGTTTGAAAGCATGAGATAATTAACAGTATAGTGAAGAATCTCTATGCCAGAATTTGGGGGAGGTTGAAGGCCCAAGGAGGTAAGGCCAGTTTTTGAAGCTATGAAGCTATAATTGTGGCTTCAAAGTGCAGTCTTGAGTTCTCTTAAGCTCACTATAACGTCAGAGGATCAGCTGAGAGAAAGTTTTTAGAAAGAATTGCCTTAAGTTCCATCTAAAGGTTACTTTGTGTTAAAGCCATACCAAGGGTATGGTATGTTAAAGAACTGTGTAATTATAGCATGTCCTAAATGGCTCCTTTAGGACTCAAGTACAGTTGGGGTTTTTTGAAAATTGATTTCCATTTATCTTCTGTAGGCAATATGAACTGCAAAACTGATTAGGTTTCCCTCTTCTGGTTAGCCACTAGAAAATTACAAACAAATTTGTGGCCTCCTTTTGGTAAACTGTATATCATGCATTTTTATGTTAGCCTCATTCCCCCACTACATTTTGTTTTGTTTTTTTCACCTCATCATTTATACTTATTTCCAGTTTATATTCCTGTGTTTTATTAATCTTTATAAGTTACTTCATCTACTTTTAAGTGGGACAATTTAGATGATAAATTAAGTTTACTGTATTAGGGGAAAGTACATAGGAATGTTTCCATAAAACCGTTAACTAAAGGATTAGATATTTTTAAGGATTATTTTTCAGTTATTTGGGAAACTCCCTTTTTTGGAACACTCCTCTTTTGTATTTCCTTCATCATCAGGCAAATGAGGTACTATATTGTCTCCTTTAGACAAAGTGAACCTTTTAATTACTGGAGGTCTTTTATATGGTACTCATTGTGTACAACATTGTTTAACAGTAACAGCCCTTTCAGAAAGTTAGCCATTGTCCCACCAGTGTCCTGTTTTGATGTTGGCTTTAAGTCGATGGCTTCAATTGTTAAACCAGATCCTACGTATGGAGTTTACTGTACTTCTTTGGCTCATCATCTGTAAATTTATATTGTGGAACTATGTTACAGATGACTTCTTAAAATATAAATCCCTGGTTTAGAAAATATGGATTAGGTTAGTGTTTTCAAACTCTTATGTGTTTTCTTACTGATCCTGAAATTTTGTGAGTTATGACAAGCATTTTTAAAATATGGAATAAATCAGAACAGAACATACCAGAGTGTATTATACATAATAAGGGTAAGTATGGTTTCTCATAACCTGTTTTCTTTGGGTTGCAGCATAAAATGATTGCTTGCTATGCCTTACAGTCAAAAATGTTTGAAACCCACTTGTTTGGGAGAATCACAATTGTCAAAATACACATTTTTAAGTCTATAATTCTTGGCTGAGAATATCCTGTATTTTAATTTTAATTCCTCTGGGGGAACGAATGGCTCAGTGGATTTTCAAAAGCTAAAGAAAAATATGTATAGCAGAAGTAGAAACTCAGTTAAGTAGATTTTTCTTATATAAGAAATATTTATTTCTGTATTAAAGAGTTGAATATATAGTGTCATTTAAGTTTTACTTCGTAAGCAGGACATGTACTCCCCTTCTTGAGATGTGAATAAGTAGGTTTCATTATATTTAAAAGTCAGAGGTGTGAAGTTACATACTGGGGCTGAGAAGATTTTGTTGGCAGTCAACATATTGTAGGTGCTTGGTGAATAGATGATGATGACAACGATGATGATGTGAAAAATGTTATTCTAGAAGGGCAGCAATTGGTCGTTACACTGGATAGGTAAAAGATGGCTGTAAACGGCAACATGGTAGACGGGAGTAGACTCCTGAACCTGTTTCCTCATGTGTAAAATGAGGTTACTCACTTTGCCAAGTTGGTGTGAGAATGTAGGTGAAGTGCTTGAAATGCTTGGGCATCATTATTTTTCTTTCATCTATTTTATTTTTCAAGGTTCTCATTTGTGGGATGCTTTAGTGTTACATTTCAGTATTTAAGTAGTTATATAAGTTTTTATTGACAGCTTTATATATTACTAGGATTTTTGTTGTGTGGCATTTAAAGCAAAACTTAACTAAGTTCACACTCACAGCTGGGGAACTGGGGTGAGCGTGGGGAGGGTAAGCTATGCATAGTGTCAAAAATACCTCTAAATAAGTAAAGAGGGTTAGTTAGAACCCTGCTAAAAATTTCAGGGATGACAACTTGCCTTTTTCAATGTCACTTAACTAATGATTTAAACATTTTGTTCAAGAAGATAGAATTAAAAATATTTTTTACACACTTTAATTAATGTTCACTATAATGTGGGTAACACTAACTGCAATTATTTTGTTAGCCACAAGAGGGAGAGCTTATATTTAGGAATAATTTTAGATTTTTGTATCTGTAGTTGTCAATTCAGATGACATTAAGGGCAAAAGACAAAAAGACCAGATGTGTGTTAAAGTCAATGACTTAGTTTTCAACTTAACCTAAGTTTTAAGCAGTCTTTATTAAATTGAATTAAAAAATGTATATTAGACACTCTGTTAACACCTTTGTTATAATTATTTCTCTTTATTTTACATGCTTAGTTATTTTGAATGATTAGATATGCTTGATATTTCAGTACTCAAACACTATCTTGAATGTTTGCTTTTCTTTTCTCCAAAAAAGATACTGATTTACCATCTCACACCAGTAATAAACTATTTTTAAACTGTATTATTCATATCTTGACTGTCTGCATGAATTAGCACATGTACAGTGTTTATACTTACTGCTATATAATGTGAGTAACTCTTTGGAAAGCATACTGAATGCCCAGAATTGCACCAAGGAACCAACACTCTCTTCACACTTAAGACAGGTTCCTATGTGAAACATTCATTGTAGCAAACATCTCAGATGTTTACTGGTAAAGTAGAGGTAGTTAACTAATTTTTGTGAAGTAATTATTTCACACCTATCAAAGACCTGCAAAAAGCCCTGTGATTTTTAATACACTACGGGATAACAAATGATGTTTACAACAGACTAAAACAGATTTTTCTCAAAAGCAACATAAAGTTTATTCTTCTTCTTGTATTGAAAGAATTATAGTTTGAGTGGAATGGGAATATTTTGACAAAAAGAGGTATTTAACCTTACGTAATTCAAAATAATTGTTTTGAATATATCTTTTGCTTCTGTGATTGGAATATTAGATTTAGGTTTCAAGAGCATTACCCCCTTTGAGTTTTTGTTTATGGTTAGACAAAAATTGAAGCATGAAGTGACATGTGTGTTTAATTTGTTTTCTGTACTACTGAAATTATACTGATATCTCTAAGGGACAATAATGGTTGTCTGAATGCTACAAGATCATTTATTCTTATATTTAATATTTTATGTATGCCTATATAACAAAATGAGAATACATGCTGAAGATTTCAGTTCATTTAGTTGGCAATTAAAAACCTAAAAGAGAACATCATTAATGTCCAAATAAGAATGTTTAATGGAAAACAAAATCTATAAAAATTAGGTTTAAAATAATTTATAATTTCTCAGGTAATTAAGGTAAATTAAAAAAATGTAATTGTAAAATATTTTTAATTATAAAAATAGGAGAGGCATTTTTGAAGTTTTTATTTGTTTCATATGATCCTCCCTCTCTAGCTTCTTTTTTCCTTACCAGGAAATCATCTGGCTCTTCATGTCTTGTGCTGTCATGTCACATTGGTTTAGAACCAACAATATGAGACAGCCCAGTCAAACATAAAGAATGTAATGCATGAAACCTAAATTTTATTTTAATGTGGACTTGGGTATACATTCAGCAACTGATATATCATTTCAATCCGCAGTGTCAAAAATAATCAAAAAATAAATACAAATTTATAATCCATATATGAATGAACATAACTTTATTCTTGACCAAATTTGCAAATAAAGAACATATTCCTTACTACTTACTAATTATATTAACAGCACTGCACATTATAGGATATAATGAAATCTCATTTCTGAGTAAAGATCTGTAAGAAATTAATCAGTTAGAATATTTCTTTTTATTATATCCTTCTGTTTAATACAGTACAGTTAATTGCTACAAATCAGGACAATGTTATTTTTCTAAGATCTTTTCATTTATAATATCCTAATTAAATCTTTCAATTGTTTAATTTACATCACATCAAAACTAATTGGAGCAGAAATCTTGATCTGCTTATTTCTATTTTAAAGTTACTTCCTTTTGTCCATAAAAAGCATGATTTTTTTTTTTTAAACCCTGTATTTCAGTGATAATATGCAGCATGCATACTGGGAACTGAAGAGAGAAATGTCTAATTTGCATCTGGTGACTCAAGTACAAGCTGAACTACTAAGAAAACTGAAAACCCCAACTTCAATCAAGAAAGGCAAGTCACTGTGCCGGAAACCACTGATTCCAGCCAAACTGCTTGAAGAACAACTAGCTATCGTATCTTATCAAAATCTCATCAAATGAGTTTGATAAGCCAAAGTATATATAGTATGTTCACAGCCTACCCATTCTCTGCTTTGGCTTCAGTCTCATACTGGTCAACTTCACACATAAAGGTGTTGCTGATGTGTTTTTTTCTTCAGTACTGTATTCTTTTCCCCCTGTGGCTTTTCTCAACCAAGTGTTGCTTATGTGTATAAGGCTGAGGTGTTAAGTTTGCTCTAGTTGACCTTTTACCACAACTACTTCATATATATATCTATATATATATATATATATATAAATATATATAAAGACACCAAAAACAATTTTTCATTCCAGTGCTGCAGAATACACCAAAAACCTAGCTTTTTGTTTGTTTTGGAAAAAAAAAATAATAACTTCGATTCATTATTTGATTGTTCGCATTTTTTATAAACTTAAATTTTCTTTCTATAAAGGATGGCAGATCATAATGGAGACTAGGTGTTTTCCCCTTATCCCCTTCAGTGAAATGTTCATTGCTCTTTGCCTCATATTTAACTGCTTGACCAAAACTGCTTGACCATACTCTTTTGAGCTTTGTGTTAACTAGTAGTGGCTACTTTTGCCAAAGCTATTTTTATACCTTAGAAAAATCGGTGCATTTGTACCTAGTATTACATAGTAGGTGTAGTTCTGAGAAGTTGTGTAGTGTAAATTTGAATGCCCTAAAATTTAAAGAAACGAGATGTGACTTTTTATAATCACCATCTAATTTAAAATTGTTATTTGCACCTCAGATTGTCTTAAAGAAGGCACAAGAGAATTTTGTTTCATAAATAGTTCTCCTCAGGAGTGTTTATTAGTAGGGGAAAATGTAGCACATGGGAAAGGAAAATTGAATTTAAAATTCCTTTCAGTGTCTAGAGAGTTGGTTACTTATAAGTCAGGGAAAATAATACGATGTTTTAGCAAGCCTCAATTTATGGTTCACTTTGTCCTTGAGTTTTCCAGTGGTCAGAGTATATATGAGACTATAAGTTTATAGTAGAAATAAAACTTTTCTTTAAAGGGACTCAGAATAATTTTGCAGTGAGTTCTCAGGGTGGCTCTTTGTTTACGTAATAAATATAACTTCCAAAGAATAATAATGGAGAAATGCTCTTTTCATACATGGAAGTGGCTCATCCCTGTGTTCCTTCCTAGCTGGTTAATGATAGATCTTTTGGTGCTTTGGAACATACTTTTTTTTAGCATATCCCCTAAGACAGTGGCAAGCTTGAGGTTGCCACTCCTTACCACAGAACTCATTGTTTTGAGGAGTACAGAGATGAGAGTAGGTCACCCTTTTCCCTGACCTTTGTATCACCTTTGTCCAGAAGCTGAACACTGTTCTTTCCAGTTTTCCCCCATCTCTGTCTACTCTCCTAAGAAAAAGGCAATGTTATTTTACAGTATGGATCACAGAGATGAGATTAGATCACCTTTCTTCCTGAGAGATAAGATCACCTTTTCTCCTGACCTACGTATCCCGTTTCTCCAGAAGCTGAACAACTGTTACTTCCAGTGCTCCTCCATTCCTATTTACCCTCCCAAGACAAAAGGCAACGAGATTATTTATAGTGTGGTTCAATTTGTTCCTTCTAAAACTATGTGGAATCAAGCCTTGGTTACACTTGGCCATCCTTCTTGAGCTGAGGATAAACTTACCTTTCCACCCTGGTAGATTGGGTTGGAGGGAGAGGAGAAGCCTATATTACCAATGTGCTGGCTATGGCTAAATAATAGCTCTTAGAGCAATCTTCTTCTAAGCCATTGCATGTGTACAAAACATATTTTGTTTGTTTGTTTTTTACTTGGCCTGTACTGTGACCGTAGTGGAATTAACATTTGCTATTATATGTGTTTTTCAAGAAACAGGATTATTTTATAACTTTTATTTAAACTGCTTTATCCATAAAAGCCTTTGAAATATATTAAAACTTCATTTGGGTCTCACAAATTCAAAATATAATTATTTCTGAAAAAATTTACTTTTGGGCTGCCTATGACTAAGCAAAGGAATATTATATTTAACTAAAAAATGCTAAAACTTAAGAACAGCTGTCTCGGTCCCCACTGACATGTAAACAGTCTGCAAGCCTTCTCCTAGTCACAGTAAGAGCCAAGAACAGGATCTTTATTTATATTTTAACTTTATTGATTTCAAACTTTTTAAAATAGGCAATTCTTCATCTTTTAAAAGCTCTATGACATAGGTGGTACAAGATTACTGTATCCATTTTGCGTATGAGGAACGTGATAACTAGACCAGTTAGGTTACTTATCTAAAGTCACAATGTTAGTAAATAGCTGATCCAGGATTAGAACTCAGGTCATCTGTCATTTATCTCCGAGTCACAGTGCCTCAGTGATCACAATAACTTAGAAATGTTGATTTCATTACCAGTTCCAGAATTCAGCCAAATTAGTGAAGTGTTACAGTATTATTTTATGATCATAAACGCCATGAAACTGACATTTAGCCTGTGCTTTCTTTTTAGCCTGCGCCCCAGTAGGATGCATTGAAGACCTTGGGAAAGACAGCACAAAACTGCACTTGACGAATTTTACTGCAACATACACAAGACATCCCCCTCTCTCACCAAATGGCAAGGCTGTTTGTCATACTACATCTTCTGCTTTACCAGATATAAAGATTTTATCAGAGAAAGCAATCCTCCAATCATGGACAGATAATGAGAGATCCATTCCTAATGACGGTGCATACTTTCAGGAACACAACTCTTACGGCAGAAATTCTCTGGAAGATAATTCCTGGGTTTTTCCAAGCCCTCCTAAATCAAGTGAGACAGCATTTGGGGAAACTAAAAGTAAAACTTTGCCTTTACCCAACCTGCCGCCACTGCATTACTTAGATCAACATAATCAAAACTGCCTTTTTAAGAATGAATTCTGAGGAGATTCATGATTTCATCATGAGGACACTCTCTCTCTCAGTGGTTCAGAAATTATTTAACAAAGTGGATTTTGATTAAAATTTTGCAGTTCTTCAGTATATACATTTGAACATACTGTGCAATATTATGTAGTTGATTTTCAGTATGAAAGAGCACCATCCAGCTCCATATTCTGAGAATCAGATGTATGCTACTATACTAATTAATAAATAAGGTGTTTAAAGAAGACAATTCTACCTTTAATGACAATTGTAATATTTTGCCTCTCAGATAAAGGATGGAATTGGAAATTTTAGACATGGTTTTACAAAGTGCGTGAAATGGCATTCATAAAAACAAAAGGAAGCATTAATATAGGAGAAAGACCACATATGTTGCTTCAGATTACATAATGGAGCAAATGGCTATGTGAATAGGTTATATTTCTGTTGAACTTACACATAAAGATACGAAAAGTACTATAATGGAATAAAAGCATCTTACATTACACCATCTCTATATGCTATTGTGTTGCAAAGTTTAAGATTTAAAATGATATTTTAGTCACAGTGTTTGTTGATAAAATTTAGAATTGCAATTTGAATTCTAAGACTTGAAATAACCTGATCATTGAAGCCACCTTTGTCCCACTACATTCCTCAAGTCCTAATTGAAAATAAAATGATGAAATATTTGAAAAACTGTGTGGTGTGCAAATAAGTGATTATAACCCTATACACCATTCGATTAGAAGTAGAAAGAGCATCACACAGGTTTCAGTCTAATCTGACCCTTTAATGGTCCATAATGAAAACCTAAATATGTAACTATATAAAATCATTTTCTTCAAAGGGGCTATAGCTGCTTGTTATGTAGAACAGCTTATAAATTGTTCGACTTTGTTTTGAAATGTAATAGTTTATTTATTGAGAAAGTGATTTTTAATTAGGAATTGTAATTCTAGAAATCAAATTTTGTGCTGCATTTATATACTATAATCATGAAATGTACCCAAAATCTTTTATTCTAAGTGGCCAACCACTTGTAAACAAGTAAGGAAATAACAAAGATGGCTTCATAATTAAATTCAGCTAAATTCTTTTAGGGTGGAGGTATTAAGAATATTAGTAATATATTACTTGGTTCATGTACCTTTTGCCTGAGTCAAAGTGTTTCATGTAAGAGGACTTCTTCCTTTTTGATAGACAGACAGGTTCATATATCTTGAACTCAAAAGAATATCTCAAATCTCTTCTACCATACTACTGAATAGCATACATACATAGAAAATGTTCACCATTCACCAGATATTTTTGTCTTTCTATTATCTTATTCAAACTTGTCTGTGATTAACAGAATTGGTGTCAGATGCTGGAATTTATTCTGACCAATGAACACAGCTGACTCAAGGGAGTACAATCTCCTGCCAAGTAATAGAGCAAAACCCAATATGCATAAAACAAATACAAGACTCCAGGCTTTAGCTGAAGGAAGCAACTACCTGTGTAATAACAAAGAAGCAAAAACTATTTCTCATGTGGCTGCATAGGCTGTATATTACATGTAATCTCTAATGTAGCTCACTAGTTTGCCTTTTTTCAAACCAAGTCTTATTAGATAATGGCTTAATTAAGGTTTTGAACAATGATAAGAAATTATTTAACTAAAATAAATTATTTTTTGAAATTGAAAATGGATATGAAATACTGTCCTTGCCTATATATTCCAAGGTCTGGTACTAATTGTTGGTTGTTAATTTGATTCATATAACAGACATTTGTGTTGTTAAAACACCTTCCTTTGAGTGGAGAATTTTCTTTTTCATCTAAACTCTACAGTGATGGTAGCTATCAAATGGTTATCCTAGAAAGTCAGTGGTAGATGTTCTTGACAGTTTAAAGTGCTAGATAAATTATGTATAAGCCTCTTGAATAAGGAAAGATTAATCAAAAAATTTTTTTACCCAGCCACAATTTTTAAAATGTACACTTGATCATCTCTGTGCAAGGTAATACTCAAAAAGAAATGAGGGTGGTTTATCTGTAGTTTATAATCTATTTAAAATTGAAAATTTTATATTGATCTCTTTCATACTAGCTGAAACTTGTTCCAAAGTGCTTCCCTTGAATTTTTTTTTAATCTGTAGATTTTTTTATAAGATAACACAATTCACTACATCCATAACTCAACAGAATACAAACAACAAAGCCACCTCTTCCTCTTGTCCCCCCCATTAGTGTAAGTAAAATTTACATCTCTAAGAAGATTCTTTTATTAAGTTGCTGTCAAAATGGAACTGAATTCACAAGGACAGGAACACTCCTATGTGAAACATTAGAAAACCAAAATAAATAGGGGGAAAATTCAGACTCAGAGAACTAAAGAATTAAATCATGTGACAATAAAGTAATGATCTTATCCTGAAAGGCTACTTGAGAAGGTAAATCTTAAGGGGTAAAAAAATCTCTGAATTGTCATTTAAAAGTGGAATAATATAAGAAAAGGCACCAGTGAACAAGCAAAATAGATGTTCCTGATGGAGTAGTCTTGAATGAGAATAGGCATGGGTATTCTGAAGTCTACAATGAAGGGTTTAGTTTTTGACATAAAGAGAATGAATTTTTTTTTTTTTTTTTTTTTTTTTGAGACAGGGTCTCACTCTTGTCACCCAGGCTAGAGTGTAATGGCATCATCTCAGCTCACTTCAAGCTCAAATTCCTGGGCTCAAGCAATCCTCCTGACTCAGCCTCCTGAGTAGCTGGGACTATAGCTACATGTTACCACACCTGGCGAATTTTTCTATTTTTTGTAGAGATGGGTCTCACTATGCTGCTCAGGCTGGTCTCGAACTCCTAGCCTCAAGTGATACCCCCCCACCTCAGCTTCCCAAAGTGTTAGGATTACAGGCAAGAGCCACTGTGCCCAGCTGGATGAATATATTTTTTAGGATGTATAATTTGTCTAGAATCTGTGGGGAGAGTAATATCTTTATAAGGGAATTTTCCACATAAAGTTGGCTACTTTTGATTTCAATCAAAATTATAAATGAAAGTCACAGATTGTATATATTTCACTTGCTTCTTAAAGTAACTGTTTTGCCTTTTCTTCATTCGAGTCATCTTTAAAAAGAATTCAGGTCCCATGCTCTAGGAAATGCACCAATACCAAAAGGCCAACAGAGAAATGAAGGCTTGTTTGCCTCTATGCTGTGTGGCCTCTAGATTTCTCTATTTGTCTTGCTTTTGTCCGCTCTAGTAATATCCCTCCTTTTGATCTGGGGCCTGGAAAAATGTGGTTTCTTTGTATTTCAAATAAGGGTAAAATAGTTCTTTGAGTGGTGTAGAAGTTGAACATCCATTGATTCTTTAGGGTCATATTTAACTAAGTCCTTTTCAAAAAAAAAAATCTCTCAGATCTGTTTCATGGGATTAGGGCCAAAGTTAAATCTTATCTTAGTGGGTAGTAATTTCTATTTGTGATTTTAATGAGGACTGTGTGCAAATATACATAAAATTTACTTATCTGGAAACTGGTTACGATGACTGGAAGAGTTAATAGCTCATGGGGGAAAAAAGAACTATTAATATAAAAGCTCAATTCCTTCCATTGGAACAGAAGTTTTTTATACTACCTCCTGAGTCCATTACTCTATTATAAAATAGTAAATCACACTTATAAAGATGCCTTTTTTAAATGAAAGATTAAAGTACTTTCAGTAGCCAAGTTAACAGAACATATAATACATTCCAGAAAATTTTCCATCAAAGATGTAAGTAAAATTAATTCATATTACTACTTATCTATGTTTCTGCTATGGTTTGAATGTGTCCCCCAAAAGTTTGTAAGAAACTTAATTTGCCAGTGTAACACTATTAAGAGATAGGGCCTTTAAGAGGTAATTGGGTCATGAGGGCTCTGCCATTAATGCCATTATTGTGAGTGTAAGTTAGTTCTCTAGGGAATGCGTTAATAAAAGCAAGCTCAGCTCACTCCTGTGGTCTCTTTTGCATGCACTTGCTTCCCCTTCTGTTTTTCTGCCATAGTTTGATGCAGTACTAAAGCCCTTGCCTAAAGCTGCTGCCATGCCCTTACACTTCCCAGCCTCCAGAACTATGAGCCAAATAAACTTCTTTTCTTTATAAATTAGTCTTAGGTATTGTTATAGCAGCAGAAAATGGACTGAGACAGTTTCCAAATAAGCCTTTACTACTAATAACAGTAACTACCAATTAAAGAGCATTTACCATGTCTCAAGCAAGGCACTGTCCTACACACTCTACATGTACCTGCAGTACTCAGTAAATCCTCACAAACTGAGATTTACTTTCATAGTTGCATAGCTAATAAGTGATAGAACTATGAAGGATTCTAGTTCACAGCCATCCAGCTATACTGCCTAATTATTATTAACACCTCTGAAGGTTATATATTCCTACACTTCTTTAATTACTTTTGGCCCCCATGACTAGCCATTAGCATATTATACATGGAGTGAAAGTAATTTAAGATCCATATGGAACTCCAGAAATCAGTATCACTACTATAGAACTATAGTTCTAGAGAAACAAAAAATCCAGAATGACCAGGGAAACCATATCCCATTTCAGTATTTGTTCCATTCAATAAACAAGAACTTTAAAATAAAAAAATCTTTATTTCAGGTAAAATTAATATTCCATAATTAGGATGAAGCAAACACATTCGTGAGTGCTGATTTACTTATTTAACTTGATTTATTTATTTCCGTTAATTTATACTATGAATGACTTCCATAAATATTAGAGTTCCTGAGTATCACTGGAATATTTGCCTACGTGCTCGTGGGAAGCTTCTGTAGCCTTTTCTTGGTAGGAATTCCAGTTTTTCTGAATTCTTCTCTTTCCTTCAAGTATTCCATTTTGCATTCTTCGTAAAAGGCTGGATCATTATAGCTAAAAGAAGGAAATGAAAATATTTTAAAATTAATAACTTTGCAAGCATCCAATATAAGCTTACTTTAATAATATTCAGACGTCTAGTTCATCAGGCTCAGTCTTTAGAAGTAGACTTTTAGTAATGGTCATATTCACTGTAAACATGCTACTAAACTAAAGACACCATGATCCATTTTTACATAGCACCGTCACAGGATAAAGCAACAAAACAGCTCCTGTCCTGAAGGAACCCATGGTGTTATGGGGCAGACCAGTAAAGACTGGATTACAATTAAGTATACAAAGCGCTATGATAGATGTATTGTCCAATAAACCACGGAAATGTGGAAGAAATAGGGAAGGCAGTGGAGATAGCAAGGGGAAATGTTTGAGTTGCATTTTGAACCAACAGAAATCCACATAGAAGGCACATGTGGACGGGCACATAGATGAGGAAAAACTGTGATGCGGGAAGACCTGCAAGTAGATTAGCACCACTATAGCACACACAGAGGAGACAGGGCCTAAGATGAAGATGGAATGGGCAAAAGCCAAATCATGATGGGCCATTTATGCCATACTAAGAAATTAAAATCTATCCTGATGGCACTGGGGCACAATTAATAGAGCAACTGTAAAATCAGTTTTGTGTCTTGGATGAATCTGACAGCATGTGGCAGATAGGATGAAAGAGGGCAGGCAAGGTTAGAGGCAAGATGTCCACCTATTAAAATGATGTAGGCAAAAATGATAAGGGCCTAGGCCAAAGAAGGAGCCATAGGAATGAAAGGAAGAAATGGATATGGGGGAGATTTAGGAAATCAATGGGAAATAACCAATTAGAGTTAGGAGACAAGACTCCAGATCCTGGACAACTGCATATTTCACAGACACATGATGCAGGAAGAGCAAAAAGAGCCGAGTTCAGTTTTGGACTTGAAGAAAGAAACAGAAATGTCATTTTTTATAGAAAGTAATTGAATGCATAGGTACAAACTGAACTTTCTCAGATTTAAGAATAAGAGAACCCAGGGAAACACCAACTTTTAAGGAGTAGATTAAGGAAGAAAATGTTGAAAAGAAGTACAGAGGTAGGAGTGCAAAAGGCTTATTTAAAAAAAAAAGTACAGAGAGATATTGGGGAAATGGGAAAGAGCCTTCCTTATCAGGGAGGCCAAATAGAGGAGATTTTTAAGAAGGGATTGTCAGAGAGGAGCCAACTAAAAGACAAAGAACTACTTGTTGGACTTGGCTACCATGAGCCCATCAGAACCTTTAGGAAGAGCAGTTTCAGTGGAGTCAGGGCAGAAATCTGGTCATAGTGTACTGAGGAATGAATGAAGGCGAGAGATAAAGGAGCACAAACCATATTTCAAGATGAGATGGGGATAGTGGTTACGTTCATTTCATGGAATATCAATAATAATTAACAAAGCAGAGCACTTTCTTATTTAAAGATTAAAAAATACTATCTCTTAGTGTATTTTGGGACTTAAGGTCAAGCAAAATTTTCCTTAATAACTTTCCATTTACTTTCAGCAAATGTCACATCCCTCTTTGCTTCCTTCACTGCTTATCTCTCTTCTCAACAAACAGAAGCAGCCTCCTCCCACCCTTCCCAGAATGGACTAGAACCTGTTATTTTCTCCTTGTATTTCTAAAGGGTGGGAGATAGAAGGATCTTCAGATGATTGATATTCAGATAACAAATAATAAACACAAATCAAAAAAGAGCCAACATTTACTGAATACTTACTATGTGCCAGGCACCATGGTATATGTGTTTAGGTACAGTGCCTCACAGTCACTCCATGAGGTACAATTATCCTTCCTTACAGTGAGGAGCCGGCCTAAGGCCCATGGCTCACTAAGCTCTCCCTGATCCCGTAAGTGAGCCCAGCTGCCCTCTCTGCAGTCTGTGCTCCTGTCTACTCCGCTCTAGAGCTGCCTCCGCTGGGGGGAAGGATCAAAATAGGAATTATAATTAATTATGATACTGAATCTGAGTTATGAAAATTCTTTAATCAATATATAAAACAGATTTTGACAATTCAGTCACACAAAACTTTAAAAGACTCCTTTACTCATTAAACATCTCTTGGGAGCACCAGAGAACAAAGCTGAAGAAGAGTAAGTCACAGAATAAACTTTCACTCGTCTGTGGTAAAGCACTGACTACGGTTCCTGGACAATAATAAGGGCTGCTGTTGATATTATTAACTTGAGGAAAAATGTGAACCTTGAGTGTGTTTCTTCATCTATAAATGTAGAGATGAGTTCAGATAATCTCTAAAGTCTCTTCCAACTCTAGCGTTCTAAAAAAAAGTCTATAAATTTATGTGCAAATGGTATTTAAGAAAAAAAACCACATAGGATTCAGGTAATCATTACTTGCATTTTTATTTAATACCCAAAGAAATGTCATACCATGCTGACATATATGCTTCACAGGCTAGAGGTGTACAGTATTAAAGGAAATAAGGGCTTACCAAAACTAAGGTCTCCAACTATCAATTAACAATATTCACTAAAGTACTCTGCAATATTAGCTGTCAATAATGTGGGTAATAGAACATGGGCAGATAAGATAGAAAGCAGGTGAATTCAAAGAACTTCACATATTTTTAATTAAAGATTTAAGGAACTACAACAAAATATTAGTGAACATGATATTTAAGAATTTTTTTCAAATTAATTTGATAAACTTCAAACTCTAAATTTACTTTTATATCATTCATATGATTTACTATAAATTTCCTAGGAATTATATTAATCCAACAAATCACAAGGCTGGAAAAGGTCTTACAGATCTTCTAATTTGGTTCTCTTTCCATTAGAAGAAATAAACAAAAATCAGTCCATACTATATTCTATATATAGATTGACCTGTTCATCAAAAGGGATTTGTTAAATCGTGTGAAAAAAAATCATATTTTTCTTGCTGACTTTATCTCTTTACTCAAATACACAGCTGACAAACGTAACTTGGAAAGACTTTCATAGCTATGTTGCTTTTTAAAGAATAATCTTCAACATATTGAACTTTAGACTCAGCCAACAATATGACAAATCTGGTAGGGGAGGTACAGAATACATTACATATAACGAGTTAAATAACATTCTCTTACCTACTACACACATGCGTGCGCGCACATACACACACACAAGAAGTACAAAAACTGAGGTTACTACTTACTAAGCAGTTAGACATTCTTTCAATGCAGAATTTTCTTTTCGGCATTTTACTACCATAAGGAGTCCAGAGTTCTTGCAACATTTGGTAAAATCTGAAATAAAATATTTGGAAGGAAAAAAATGACTTGTAATTATATATGAATTACATGAATATAATTTTTAACAGTTCTAAAATATTTGTTCATTTATCATCTATTAACTAGATTGTGCTTGGCACACAGTAATGCTCAACAAGACATGTACACTAGTAAAAGGCAGAATAAGATGAATGTTCACTGTGCAGAAATAAATGAGATCTGAGGAGGGAGAGAGGACTTCTGAGATAAAGGGTGAGGAGGCTTCATAGAGATAAACGAGATGTAGAGACCGAGTAGTGAGGTTCCAAACCTGTACAGCATGTTAATGTACTGAATACTGTAGGCAATTGTAACACAATGGTAGTTGTGTATCTAAACATATTAAAACACAGAAAAGGTACAGTAAAAATACGATGTTGTAATCTGATGACACCATTGTCATATATGCAGTCTGTCGTTTACCTAAAGGTCATTATACAATGCATGACTATATAATCTAGGGACAATAAGAGTCAAAGGGGAATTGTTTCCAGATATCAGTATCTGGTGTCCAGTCTTTATGTTTCTCCTCAGTACATGGCAAAGCTAGTGGGTCCCCACCTGATGGCATCAAGGCATCCCTTTTTTTTTTTTCTTAGAGACAGGGTCTCACTCTGTCACCCAGACTGGAGTGCAGTGGCATGACTCACTGCAGCCTCAAACTCCTGGGCTCAAGTGATCCTCCTGCCTCAGCCTCCCAAGTAGCTGGGACTACAGGTATGCATCACCACATACCCTACTAATTTTTCTACTTTTTGTAGAGACGATGTCTCGCTATGTTGCCGAGGCTGGTCTTGACCTCTTAGGCTCAAGCGATCATTCAGCTTTAGCCTCCCAAAGTGTTGGGACTACAGGCATAAGCCACCAGGCCCAGCCCCTCTTTCTTTTATACAATCCTGCCACGGAACATGAACTTCTAATAACAGGACCCCCATGTCATTCCTGTCAGGTCTAGATGCCCCAGAAATTTTAGATGGCTTTCTATTAAATTTCCATTTTAAATTGTACTGGCCCCTTTGGTATTCTACCTTCTCAGGACCACCAACCCAGACAAGCCTAGTGCCACACTCCACCCACAGCCCGGCCACTTGTTACTCCGTCTTGTGTTTGCTTTGGGTCAGACTCAGTCCTACCTGTCCCTTCCACAGGACAATATGCTTTGTTCCCCACCTTGTGCAGCTACTCTCCTGAACTATCCTGGTCCTTCCTTCTGATCACTGGCTGCTCTAGTTCCAGGCTCTGCCACCTCTAATCTGCTGTAAGTAACCAACCATTTCCATGTCAGATCTTAAAATATGGCATCATCTTCACAAAGAACCTGCAGGCAAAAAATTATGTTTTCTTAATATCTTTTATAACTTTTTACACACAAAATTATCAAGATTCCCCCCTTTTCTGGAGCTATGTGTTATCCTTCCAGTTACCGAGGAATATAAATTATTTATAATTATCTTAAAGCAAGCAGGTAATTTCAGAAGTCTTCATGAAGATACATACCTATAATATGTAACAAAAATATTTTTAAACCATGAGCAAGCAAATATGATTGAGATTTGTTAAATGCATAATAAACTCATTGGGGAGCTTTGCTGGGACAAGCATAGATATTTTTATCCACCCACTACATCATAGCCATACTTTGAAAAAAATTAGTAGAATAGTAACAGGAACAAAGGATGTAAGAAGTAACTTTAATTCACATAATTTAATGTACATGATCATATGAAATTGAGTGATATGTACTATTCCCCTTCAAAGACACACAGGATTAGCTTCCTTTAGCTTCTTATTCACTAGTCTCGGTATTCCCACCATTTGCTCTCTTGTTCCCACCTGGCCTGTTAGACTCTGAATGTAATCAGGTATCTTCTTTATTCCAACTACAAATGTTCTTCTTCCAATGAGCTGGGCACATAGGTCAAATCAAACCAAGAGAAATTCCTTTGTGCCCTTTAACTAAGTATCCCTACAACTCAAAAGGCAAAACAGACTTACAGCCCACTCATTATCAATGGAGATACTGAAGGGAGACTGTGTGGCTATCAAAAAGTCCATTAACTTTCATTCTGGAAAGCCTATCTATTGCTACATGTTAATTTTTTTACTTACAGCATGATGCTAAGATCTACCTTTATACGAGCACAGATTATGATCTCAAATAAAAATTAAGATGTGGGCAATCCTGAAAGAGAATATGTACATAAAGTTAATCCAAAATTGACTATATCTGGCAAAAGTTTCCTTAAGAGAACTGGCATGTTCAATAGTGGTCATAAATTCCCCTGTACCACCTCTTACCCTTACTGTCACCTCCCTATACCTACGCCAGACTAGTTCACCTAGATAACGTCTAGAAGAAAGATCATTAGATCATGAATTTTGCCTATCTGTCGTCCCCAACCCCCAGGCTGCAGACCAGTACGGGTCTGTGGCCTGTTAGCAACTGGGCCACACAGTAGGAGGTGAGCGATGGGCGAACAAGCAAAGTTTCATCTGTATTTACAGCCACTCCCCATCGCTCACATCACCACCTGAGCTCCACCTCCTGTCAGATCAGCAGCGGCATTAGATTCTCATAGAAGCATGAACCCTACTGTAAACTGCGCATGTGAGGGATCTAGGTTGTGGCTCCTTATGAGAATCTAATGCCCGACGATCTCAGGTGGAGCTGAGGCGGTGATGCTAGGCTAGCACTGGGGAGTGGCTGCAAATACAGATTATCATTAGCAGAGAGGTTTGACTGCACTGAAACCACAATAAATCAATTGCTTGCAGACTCATATCAAAACCCTATCAGCGAGTGGCAACTGACCATGTAAAAATAATAAAGTATACAATAAATGTAATGTGCTTGGATCATCCCCAAACCATCCCCCCACCCTTGTCCCTGGAAAAATTTGTCTTCTATGAAACTGGTCCCTGGTGCCAAAAAGGTTGGAGACCACTGTGCTAGTTGACCAAACCCAGTCCTTTTCTGGAAAACACAAATACAATGGGCCTTAACAAAAGTCTACTTTCTGAATTTAACAAATACTTTTACTGACTTGAGAAATTCCCAATAGAATGCTTAGGCATTGCATTGGTTTAATATATGTTTTCTCTAATATGTGTAAAAATGTTCTCGGTAGGGAACTGAGAGGCAAGATAGCATTTATGTATTCCAATCATAACAAAGACATAGGCTAAATATTTTCACACTTGTCCAAATCTCTTCTGGAGTAACTATGACTGACCTGAAGCCTCAAGCTGTTTGTAAAGTTTCTGTCACTAGTTTAGCAACAAGATTTTAATGAGGATTTTTCTCTCATCCTACATTAGCATACATGCATATAATAGTGATGTTGCTAAGATGGCCAAATGATTTCTGAAACAAATCCATTTAAATTGTTTCCATCTTTCAATTTTATGTTAAATGTTAAAGAGCTTATATATATCTATCAATAATTTAAATTACCATTAAAGACTATAAAGATAAAATTTCATTCAATTAAGTCTATCTTAAGATAACACCAATGAATGTCAATAAACAGTGAGAGTAGGAATGTGGAGAGATTGTTAAAAGTTATTCCAAAGCTTAAAGAAATGTGAGACCTCTTTCCTTTAAAATACTGAGAGTATAAACTTTCATTTCTTTCTTTTAAACTCTTCATTTCTCTAAAAAAAACACTTAATATACTATTGATAAAAAACATTCTTTGGATATAATAAAATTTGGATCACAAACATCTAGGACAAAGCAGAAAGAGATAAAGTCATCTCCTAACTTTAGTTTAGTTTAATTAAGATAATAGACAAAATAATTATTCATGTTATAATTAAATACAAGTAGTCTATAGAATTTCCAGTTTACTATGGTATGAAAAAACTTTTTGAGAGCCTCCATATAAAAGCAGTAACAGAAATAATGACCTGAAATGATTTGTTTTCAACTCATTTAATGTATGGAAATATTTTCATATTTAAATAACGCCAATAATAAGGTCCATTAATTGAACCAAGAATAAGTACTTATGGAACAACAGCTACGCATGGAACCAGAAAAATCAGACACTTGATCTTTTACACTTTTCTCTGCATATAGGCAGTTTCAAACAACATATTATTTTGCAAATGCAGTTAGTTATCTAGTGAGGACTAAAGCATTTACTGAGAGATGATAATTTAAAAACATACCAAATTAAAAGAAATAATTCCCATTATTTCATTTCTATGACTAGGACCACTCTGTTTATATCTCCATTATTTTGATTTTAAAAACAAATTTTTTCACAACTATCTTTAGACATAGCAGTATTTCCAACTTTCCCATACCTTAATTTCCTTAACAAGTGTTTATAAAATGCCTATTTTTTCAAGCATTATAAAAAGCAAAGATATATTATATTTGGGTACTAATATAAAATTCAGAGTCTTAACATATAAACAATAGGCAATATTTCTGTGAGTACACCATCATCTTAATGGGTTTCACTTTTAAATATGGAACTCAAATTAATCTAAATAAAAAACATTTAGGAGGTTCTGTTTATTAAAGAACATAGTAGGGCAGACTTAAAAATCACCCTAAATATATTATATTAATATAACAATTCTACAAATGGAAATCTTAAGCACAAAACTGTTTCCTTATATAAAACTGAATAAAAACAGAGATGTAATTTAAAGATAACGTGGAAAAGATCTTTTGACCAGTTATTGAATCATAAGAGGTTTTAAAAATATAGGACTAAAAATGATAAAATTTGGGGAGGGTCTAGATGCCAATTTTTAGTTAGCTTTCCCTTCAGACAAAGGTATGTATGGTTTTAAATTTGTAATGTAAATTGAAATCTAAATTTTCTCAAGAAAAGCTATCTTTTATGTGAAGACTTCCTTAGTGAACAGTCTAATGTCAGGTCCCTGTAGACAATGCCTAAGTGCTGTGCCGCTCTCAGTAATCATCATCCCTTCCGGAAGCTGTGAAGTAAAAAGAGCCT